CACACAGATCTGCTTGACTTTGCCACTACGCAGATCACGCAAGAACCTTTTAGGTTTTAGCGTAGGCAACTGAGTTATCTCCGAAGATAACTTCGGAGGCGCGATCAGATCAAGCGTACAAGCGTCTACGTTTGATCCATCACTAACCAAGACGTTCAACGTCTCGGTTACTTCCTGGGGACTTATTCCCTCAGTGATTATTTCTTGGGGACTTATTCCCGCAGGCTCGATGGAACTTGTTCCATCGACTTCCTCTAGCTGTGGTGGCGCAACCACAGCGATATCCTCTACGATCAACTCTCCAGTTGATCTAGGATTACAGTGTTGCCGCTTCTGGGCAACCGGTTTACTCTTCGGTGAATGCTGCCCTCTAGGCGAGCATTCATGTCCCGGCCCACTCGACTTATTCAAGTGGTGGACCTTCGGCGCTGCCTGTGCTTGTGCACAGCCGCCGGCAGCTTGCTCCACAGCGTGACTGTCTGTCACGCTGAGTTCTTGTGCAGTCGTACTAACGACCGAACCACAAGTGAGGCCATCGCACTTACTCGTAGTACATATACACGCTTGTGAACGCTCCAAGACGTTCATCAGATGGCCATCTGATGAACAAGGGGCAGGCATCTTCACGGTTCGATGCTGCCAGCTGACCCATGGCTCGTACCTTCTGAGCCATAATAATTCTAGGATGACATCAAATTTGTCATTTAGGTCGATTACGATGAAATCATCATCGTACTTTTTGCCTTCAAGCGTGTAGTGAATTCCAAGTACACGTTTCTTTACTGTTACGGATGCGCCAGCTGCAAGGCGCACCGTCATCCTCGTTGGAGGGGTCTCGCGCTTAACATATTTGAGCCTACGATCATCTAGCGATTGGCGTCGAACAAAGTTGTTCGAAGCCTCACAATCAACTAGGGCACGAAGTGACATGTTCTTTGTCACTTCGATCTTCAAGGTGATGAGGGATACCTCATCACTGGGAGCGGCAACACACAGTGACTGTGTGTTGGGAGCAACCTTCGTCAGGAGTCCTGCGAGCTCTCTTGACGTTGCTGGATCAGTAGGGCGCTCCGCCCCTACTGACCCCGACCGTTTTTTGATGGTCCACCACGTTGTTGCGATTTCGCAGCAACGTGGGGCCCACGTGTCTGGCCCTTCTTGGCAGACGGTCGATCGTCACTCCCAGTGTTACGAGACACTGGGCGTGGGGCACTACACTCATAAGCATAGTGGCCCAACTTCTGACAGCGATTGCACTTTTGCAATCGCTTGTACCCTGGAAGGCGAGGTCGCTCTCTCTCTACATAGGAGAGGTCCATTGGTTCTGGACCTCCGCCTTCCTGTCGTCTCGGTGGACGATAAAATTCCGAGTGAAAATGAGCATGTTGTATGCTATAGTCCTCCTTTTCCGCTGCAGAGATCGCCTAATCGAGTGATTCTAGTTCCAAGCGGAACAGGTGGGTCTTGACAGGACCATCTGTCGGAACCACAATGAACACAGTAACCTGCGTGTGTTCATCGATTGGGTTCAGTACGATACAGCTAACGAGGTATCGTGCGTGTTGGGCCTAAGCGTGTATATCACGTTTACCTTGTTTCAAATTCAGGAGCTCAGCCCGAGCCCCGAATTCGGCGCAAGGCGGTTCAAACGTGTGTTTGAGCCGCGCCTTGAAGACTTCATACGTTGGGAAAACGTATGGGTCGTGCAGTTTGAGCCCTAAGGCCCAAGCTTTGGCACGTCCTGCCAAGTTCGACATGGCGAACTTGACCTTCATCGCATCGTCATCGATGCGACGAGCTTCAATGACATCGTCGAGCTCGACGAACCATCTTAACAAGGAGTCGCTTTCGACTGCCTTGTACTTGGAGACATCAAGCTCCAAGAACTCGGGTCGACTTATATGCACTGACCAGGAAGCAGCAGCACTAGCCTGCTGTTGTCCAAAATCTAGACTGTTGAGCGCCTTGTTCTCTCAGCAGGTCTACATGTTAAGAACCTTGCTCCTGTAGCAAGGCGAACTTCTTGGTGATGGTTGAAGGTTGTTCGTCTCTGGCGGAAGTCATCACGCAACGCGTGATGACGTTCTTTATTGCTGATTTCATAGCGGATGGTACGGTGGTCGTTAAACGGACCACTAAGTGCTACCAGGTGTGACGGGGCACCCTCCGACTATACTGATAACAGTATTGTCTACCTTCACTGATGACAGTGTATACAGGTTCCTCAAAAATTCACGTACACGTGACAGAAGAAGTCTTATCAACAAAGGGGTTAAGAAGATGAAAAGAATTGTATTCAATATCGTTAAGCTATTTTATAAATGTGAATCTTTTTAACCTTGTCTTACCTATATTATAGTGCAAATATGTATGTTAGCTTTATGCCCTCCACTCATTGCGCGCGCCCATCGGGTAATTGGTCAGCACGTTGGTTGATATATTGGCCTATATCAACCAGTTAGAGGACATCTTAACTTCAAGGAGCAGGGACAATATTAAAGGAAAAGGTAATATTGTCAAAATATTATTAGTTTGAAATATTTTTTATTGACTCTACACACAAGTGTCAATACAGTATTATGTAATGAACTCACCCGTGAGATAAAGGTGTGTGTTTGTAACACTTCCTTTTATTATTAATATATAATTTTACAAAATGTAAAGAATGTATATAATAAAAGGTGTGAATATACATGTAGCAAATTCCTATTCTTATTGGCATGCCAATACAATAGAAAATTGTTATAAACGGGCTCACCCCGTTACAGTATCTGGATGAAGTAGAGTAACCTTTCACACAAGAAGACAAAGGGCTGGAAGGTTTTCCGCTGAGAAGGAGTCGATTGACTACTACTAACGCCATCATACGTTCTCTATTCACCATGTGATTAGTGAAAGCGAGATAAACATTTGCATGGTCTATAAAATTGTAGTTATGGACTTTATATTCGTCGAAAATGTTACGCAAAGCTTTGTATGAGAATGATAGATATTTGTTTTCATTATTTCACCTTATACGAGTAACAATGACCCTCCAGCTACTAGTGCAAACTTCAAAAAGAGGACAAAAAAATTATAGAAGGGTACAGTATAAACGATCTGGGGCAGGAGCGATTGAATATGCAATTAAACATGTCATTATTCCAGCAATGGAAGAATTAGACTTTGTGCTCTATTTAATCATCTTTTATGCGTGGTATGCAGTCCGTTTTGACGGCGGTGGATTTATATAAGTAAAGTCATGGGCCATGACTGTACTTAACTTTTAAGCCATGACTCATGGCCTAAACGTTTTAATGCAGTGGCGGGACGACTGTGTGATGGACGGATGGATTGGCAACCGCGCGCTGATCCCACACCTTGGCATTAACACCACCATGGATACGTTCTTGTTTCCGAATACCCATGCTCGTCTGTCCTCGCAGTAGTCTAGACGCCTGCGACGCCGCAGAGGCTGCACCCTATGCAGATCCACAGCAGTCGTGTTAGCACTGACGACATCATGAGCCCCGCGAACCGTGGAAAGCGCCTACGTGTGATTCTCCTTCCAATCTTTGAAGACCTGCAGTGTCGTCTCATGCTCCGTCTTCTGCCCGTTCGGTCGCGATTCTGGTTTCTGAAAGCAACGATCCCGAACATCCGTCACTGTGTGCGCAACGGCTGCGGCGCGATCGAGACCGAGCAGCACCTTTTTTTCGGCTGCACACTCGCGTCTGAGCTCTGGAGCCATGTACTTGGTCTGGCAACGACATTCTTTCCTCCGCGCCCAGTTTGGCTCGACATCGCTCTCGCACGGCCGTTGCACGCTTGCGTAAAGTTGAACGACGGCGATGACGTCGTTTCTGACGTGGGGCATGTTCTACGCACCGTGACACCTTGACTTCATCTGGTCCGACCGTAATCGATGCTTGCTTGACGAACGCTAGCCAACTTCGACGCTTGCGGCGTTGCAGGGGGTGCTCACAACTTTTGGCGCACTTTCGCTACTTCCAGCGCCGGCTATACTCGGCTGGTCAACAAATTTTGCTTTGCTCAGCACTTCATCGGCTACGCTCGCACTCAACTTTCCATGGCTTCGTCAATTGCCACGCTGAAATATTCAGCGTTTGCACACCTGCGTAACCAAACCGTCGACCCCTGTTACCACCGACTCTGCCCTATTCGGGGCTGTTATGGACATCCTTGGTGCTAGCGTATCCGAGTGGACTCCACCACATGAACGCTCGTCTCCCACGTCGGTGCTGTTTACACTTTTGCTATTGTCTGATGGGACGATTATATTGCCCCCCTTCCCATGATGCACCTGCCGCCCCCCAGCTTTTTGGCCACTACTAGTAAGCTCGGCACGGCGTGATTGATTCTGCACTGGTGCTGTAGCGCATCAGGTCGCTCTCCACTTCCGTCAAGGTTGCCAGCACATGTACCGTCTAGCAAGGTGCACCCTCCACGACTCTAATCAATTTCAAGCTTGGACTCAAGGCCACGTCTTTAACTTCTGGTTATGACATTGGTGACTCCGCAGTCATGACGCCCAGTTCCATGCCATCTTTACCTCAGATCAAGCCATTTCCACACAACCAAGACTATCTTCGTCTATGGAGTGATTTATTGACTTAGTTGATTGAGTAGTCAAACCGTCTTTTCTCAACTATAGACAAACTGTCAACTATGTGATGGACGGGTTGGTTTTGTAAAAGAAGGTGGTATCCGAAATTGATCGGCCGACAATTCATTGCGTCCACTGAATCACCATTTTTTCTAAGCGAAATGATAAGCCCCTTCAATAAGGTAGAGGTATGACTCATGTGACTTGACTGATGGAATTGACTGATGTGACTGAACTGACTACAAGATAAATGTTGATAGATAATGATGAAGCTAGGACATAAAGCAACAATAAGGCTTGTACCAAGGTTCCTCATTTCTATTAACACTCCGCAAGTCTGAGCCGGTTGCCCTTTGCAATCCAAGAGCGGGTCACCAGTCAGCAAGACACCATTATGAAGCTGAAAGGTAGCAATGGACTGCTGGAGCAAGTTCGTACATGCGAGGAGGAGCGGAAGCTAGTTGACCAGCTACGAGACATTGGTCTCGACGAGTACATCGAATTGCCGCAAATCGCCGTTATGGGGGACACTTCCAGTGGCAAGTCGTCCCTGTTATCGGCACTATTTCGGGTATCTCTTTCCCATCTTCCGACCAACTCACCACGAGATGCCCCACACGTGTTCTCCTTACACGTGCCGATACTTTTCGTGGTAATGTGCGTCTAGTCCGATTTCAGACGAGTGCCAACGATGAAGACAAAAACAAGAAACGTGAAGAAAACGAAAGCTTTGATAGCGTGGAAGACGTCCCTGATGCTATAACGAAGCTTACCAAGCAGCTTGTATCTGAGGGCCAGTACATTAGCGATGATGAAATTGTCATTGAGATGAGTGGCCCTCACTTACCTAATCTCACGCTCACGGATCTACCAGGACTTGTGCGCACGGTGGGTGATAACGAAGACCAGAGTATCATTTCGAGGATTCGGCACATGGTCAATCGATATATGCAGCAGGAACGCACTATCATTCTCGCTGTCGTACCAGCTAATGTGGATATGCATAATACGGAGATACTGCAAGCAGCACAGGAAGCCGATCCGAGTGGTACTCGAACTATCGCTGTGATAACAAAGCTGGATTTGGTGGATACTGGTGCCGAGATAGGTGTTCATGAATTACTGCTGAACAAGAAGAAGTGCATGAAGCTTGGCTATCATGCCGTCAAATGCCGCAGTCAACTAGAGCTGACAAACGGCACGACGATTGCAAAGAGTGTGGCGAATGAGATGTCATTTTTTAGTGAGCATCCTTATTGGCGTCGACTACCACAACATTTGTGGGGTGGGTCAAAATTAATCGAACGGTTGGTGTCCATCTTGCAGGACAATGTCCGTCGGTCATTGCCGAAGGTGATTGAAGAGCTAGAAACGCGCATGGTTGAAACGCAGCAGGCATTGTCGAGGTTGGGCTTGCCACTAGAGACACCTGGTGCTCAGCGCCAGCGCTTCGGCAAGTGGGTGAATCAATATTTGCGCATGATGGAAGCTGCAATAAACGGGCAGTACGAATTGTTGCCTCCTGTTGTTGTTTCACCAAGTAGTGTCAAGTCGGAAGCACGCTTGCGAGCTGTACTGAGGCAGAAGGACTTGATTTTTCGGGCTGAAATTGAAGCTAAAAAGGAAAATGACGTTCTTGGGACGAGTGATCCGTTGTCTTCAGCAAAGTCAGATTCGTATGCAGGAGACAAGATACCAAAAGCTGATGTTGCTGTCGGGGACCGCGTCGTTGTGCAAGCTGGGGACCAAGAAGTGGTAGTTTGCAAAGTCATGAAGACGAATGGTACAGATGTGCTATGCGAAGAATTGCCACACGAGTGGTTGAGTGTTTCGCGTTGGCAATTTTTCGAGGAGAATGAATCGTGGGCTCTGAAACAATTTATTCAGGCGAATCGGGGCGACGAACTCGCCATCTTCCCTTCCTACCGCATCTTTTGCAGCTGTGTTCAGCGAAGCGTGAGAGAATGGGAGCGGCCTGCTTTGCAGCTACTCGAGCACTATTACACACAAACTTTATCGGTTTCGAGTCATTTGATCTCGGTACCTCTAAAAGATTGTGGTAATGTGCGCAGTGAACAATTTTTCAAGGAAACAAATAAGCGAGTCCTCAAAAAGCTGATAGAAGGTACTCGACAGGAGCTGATCTTACTATTACAACAGGAAGCTCGGCCATACACACAAGACAAACGTCTCTACGACGCACTGGACCGACTTCGTCAACGAGCTTTAAGTGCCCGACTAAAAGCTGCACTTCCATGTGGAGATGAGTATGGTCGAGTATCGTTGGATGACGTCGCGTGTGCCCTGGGAGAAATTTCATCGAAACCATTTGCTATGTCTGTGGATGATCGTGAAGCGCTGGAGATGAAAATTGCTTTGTCTGCTTATCTGGAAGTGGCTTCACACCGGTTTGTCGATATGGTGCCTATAAAGCTAAACGGACTTCTGTTAAAGTCTTTTCTTCGTGAAATGGAGAATGAATTGCTGAAAGCAGCTTCGGATGAAAAGGTGGCGGAGTTATTAGAAGAAAGTAGTGACAAGGCGATGCGCCGTCAGCAGCTTCTCACCCAGTTGTCCAGTTTAAAGAAAGGAAAGAATATCATTGAAACGAGGCTTAATCCAAGACAAAAGCTCAATGGCGATCTTCAAACGTGAAATTACGGACGAAAGCCGTCGCAACCTCAGAGAAGGCATGGCGGCAGCTGAAGAGGCTGAATAGATTGGGAAGAGAAGATGATTCTTTCTAATTTAGCGCCGTAGTCAACCTTGGAATCAAAGTCAAGAAGTAGTTTCCAAACTGAAGTATGCCGACATCCTTATCCTCCCATTCTTTCTTAGACAAACCAGTAACTTATCTCGCTGACGGGCTAGCTTTGGGAAGCCTCCGAAAGTTTTGACCCTAGCGTAATATCTACCTGCGCATTGACGTACGGTCAAAGTGATTTCGTTTCCAGTAAAATCGTTTTTTCCCTTGTTTAATCACGAGAATGCGCTCCCTTCTTTTCAAGCTCGCTGTGTGGGATGTTGGATCGAGATTTCTGTTGTGTAATTGACAAAGCGAGAACAAGTTGGTCGGCCATGTATTTTGCAATGATTCATCCACCTTCAATTAAATACAAATGCTTGAATGATCCTGCCACTGTTGCAATGAATCTTCTAACATTAATTTTTTTTTACTCAGTGTCTTCATTAGGAACGGCAAGTACGGGTTATGTTGTGCAGTGTTCTCATCATAAGTCGATAAGAAAGAGGTAAAGCCTTGAGAAAACTCACGCATTCTTTTCTAAGCTCAAAGTAACTAAACAGCTTAGATCGTAATGCACGTCGACAAAGTAGCAAACAGCCATCAACAAGTTCCTACCCTTCTCCAATCCACCTCCAGTCGTCGGCTCGTTCACCGAGCGCAAATTCCGGTCCTACGAAGCGAACTCCCTTAGAACGTAAATTTCTGATGCGACGCGTGATCGGAAGCTTATGAACCATAATGTTTTCCGTCTGATCCGTTGTTGTAGGCTCTAAATAGTGGATTCCTTCAAAGGTTGTTCTTTTCCAGATTGGACACGAACCCCAAAGACCATGCGCTTACAAAGCCAATTTTCTCCGGCTCCTGACTCTCTGCCTCCCGTGACGCACGCAGCGGAGAGAAGGCCTTCCTCTATAACTTGGCCCATGATGGGGGATTTCCCACCCAAGGTAAAGGACCGGCACGCCGGCGCTTTGGAGGCCTTCGTCGCTTGGTTGTTGTTGCTTTTACAATTGTGAAGTGACCAGTCCGATCATTGATGGTTGAGAGCGTCAAGGTTCCGACTTATTGTGATTGTCACAATTAGATATACTAAAAGGAATAAACGCAGATATATCTATCCTTTCACAATGGAGTTACCGTGATAAGCGTTGTATGCATGTGTTGTGGTGCTGAACAAGATGGACATGGGTTTGAATGAAGAGTGTAAGAAACGTAGACGGTATCAATGAAGAAGATACACTTTGTAATTGCGTGAAAGCAGATGTGAACTTGGACAAGGTGTTGCATGTGAAGACATTTGATGCACTGCGTTTGCTCTCAATTGGAGAAAAAGGAATGCATGCAAGCGCGAGGTCAACATACGGAAGGCATTCGTACAGTATACGTTGAGGTCAAACGCGATATCGACGTCGCCGCTATGGCGAATGACTTTCTATGGTTTTACACGATATGTGAAAGGTGTTTTGTGCGAGGTGTGTTCTATATGTGGCAGGAGATGCGATGATTGTCGAAATGTCGCCCAAGGGGTACTCTACACGTACACAATCGGGCTGGGAACGGCTTAGGAGACTGGAGAGCAGTGCTTTTCTCGTCTTGTGCTCATTAACGAGAAATTCGATCATGCTGAGCTTGAACCCGGGTTCCACTAGTGAACGTCAATAGCGCTGGTAAGGAATCGAAGAAGCAGCAACGAATTGCGTATGTCCAAGTTTGACTGTGAGACGCTTACAGCCAGCATAATAGTTGATCTCCGCTCAGTAGACAGTCACGTTGCCATACGCGTTACAAGCTTGGAAGAAGTATACCAACAAGCAGCTATTTTTTGTTTAACTATCTAGAAAAGTGTGTATGTCCAATCTGTAGCTATGTTGCTGGCAAACAAGAAACCCATTGCATATAGCATGTGGGATGACGCGAAAAAACCATTTTTATGGAAACGCATTATCAATTCTCTATCGCTGCCTTTCACGCGATGAGACCGAACTGTTCGATGAACCCCTTGAGCGGCTCGTGGATCTCGTCATTGAACGGCTGGGACTTCATACGAGCAATCCACGCAGACACCTTTAGGTACTTGGAAAAGTCGTAACCCATGAACTCAAGCTGGTCAATCTCGCAATACGCCGTGTAATCGGCAATGGTGGGGAAGTCGGTGTGAGCGATAAAATCGTTAACTAGGAATGTCTCGAGCAGATCAAACTTTTCCTCAATGAGAGAGTCCTTATCCTCCAATGCAGCCAAGTCCTTAGGCGTGACGGTCTTGAGCTTCTTGGCGATCTCTGGACGCACAATATTTATCGTGAAAAGCCGTGTGTTGGTGTGGTGCCAGTGCAAGAACTCGTTGATTTTGGCGCGCACTTTAAGATCCTTCGGGTATAGATCCGTGGAGCCAGTCCATTCATACTTGTCACCCAGATACTGCAAGATGGCCATCCCTTCGGTCAGCACAAAGTCGTCATCCTTGATGACCGGCACGAGACGGTTCGGGTTAATAGCTGTGAACTCGTCCGACTTGATAAAATCACTGCCTGGGTCCACAGAGACGAGCTCATGGGCTACCCCCTTGACCTTGAGTACCCAAGCCACGGTACGCGACGGCTGGCTGACGAGATTAGCGTAGAGCTTGAGGGTCATTGGGAAAAAGAAGAAGTAAAGGGGTGCTTCGGTCGGAGACGGTGAAACTTGGAATGAAAATTTACTCGCTCGATGTTTTCTCAAAAGTCTCGTATCCTGGATAATCAATTAATAGAACGACCAGGAGGCGCTCGTGAAGGGGCATTTACTACCTCATCTGTTCTGACAGTAGTATAAGCCCAGTATCTATGTCCCTTTCGTCGTCGCCCTTCTTACCACAATATGAATCACACATCGACATTGTTCCTTTTGCACGCTCATTCGCGCATTTTTTTCTTCTTCATCTAAAACTATTTACAATTACCTTTGCAGGGTAAGAAGCGCTCTTACTTTTCTCAGTCTGCTTCGAGTCCTTTTGCTCTACCATTGGCGTGCTCATGAGGTCTTTTACGCTCAATAATGATGTCACTAACATGCACATTAGCAGATTAGAAGCTTCGTAAAATAATGTCTACAGTTTCTATTCAATCACTTTCAAACCTTATTTGTATCTCTATTTACTATTGTAAAATCGGTTTACGCTAAAGTTTTTATCTTATGAATAATAATAATGGAGAAACTCGATTCTTTCCTATTGAGAGAGAAGTACCACTCACGTGTGTTCAAAAGAAAGAGCGGTGATTTTGAACTAATGCAAGAGGACGATCGAACCTCTCTTAAAGAATAAATTGGTCGATTCAAGAAATCTCGACGTTCAAAGGCATGTTCTCGGTCATCGAAGGCTGTGGATTGCTAAATGAATATATCAGTCCCATGGCTTTTGTCACAGCGCTGACAGGCTCGCTCATGTTTAAGAGCAATTTGTTTCAAAAAATACTAGCTCCCGTACGTCTTGATACCAATTCATGGTTTTGTTGAAAGTGACGCACAGATTTAAAGAAGAACAAGACGCAGAGTTTCTACTGTCTCCATTGGTGATGATACAGATCTAGATCGTTATCAACGGACTCATGTTTCGGCCTTATCGCTACAAGCTACAATTCAGCCGACTCTGGACTAAATTCAACAAAATGGAGATAACGTGGAAGAAGAAGCGATGACGACGTACTCATCCTTATAGCTCCATAAAAATTGTCAGGAATGGTGATAATTAGTGATGACAATATACTCTAATACAGACTGCAGGGAGAATGAAATTGTGTGAATGCTTTTGTCAGCAACACGTACTTGCTGGATCTGTTCAACTCATTGCAGTATCATCGGCTAAATTAACGTTTGACGCGATGCTACAAGTTGGAGACATGAGATATGTGCTGCCCGTTTAAAGAGAGAGTGAGGCTTTAAACACGGTCGGTATCCTATTTGCTGAGAGTTTTGGGAAGCTGCCAGACAGACCTTCCACTTGAGAGAAGACGATTGATAATAAAAGATGGAAATTGCGTCAGAGGAAGTAGTATATATTACAAAAACTGCGAAAAATCTTGTGATGGGTGGTGCTCGTGGAAGTGGACCGCTAAGAATCTCGTACGATGGATAGCGTGAGATTTTTGCGTTCCGCTGACTGCACAAACCGAGTTTCGAAGAAAACGTGCGTAGTTGCGTCTAGAGCGACTTGTTTGTCACTTTTACCGCCAGCAAGTAGTGTATCGACCGTTGAGCCATGTTTACACAGCAAATTACTCGGTCGTCATTGCCACGGTCCGAAGACAAAGACGATGCGGATAAATGCGGCACTACGACTTCGGGTGGCGCAATTCTATCGCTAGAACGGCATTTGCATCTCCTATTTTATGCCATGATCTGTTACTGCTTTACTTCAAATTGCTGTCTTCAGGACGTGGAATTCGCAATTGGCTTTGAGACTTTTGATGCATCTCTCGGCTTGCAGACTTTCTTTGAGAAGCTATGGCTGCTTGTTGTTAGCTTACGATCATCCGAGTACGGTAGATTGGGGCAAATTACATCATGCTGCGAATATATGAGCGACACTTCACTAATCGGTATTTATCCTAAAATATAAACTGTAAAGCATAGAGTTGAAATCGTGCATCATTCAACATGCGCTGCTGATTTAGCTGTGTTTCTTGGTGTTGATAGCACGCTGACGTCTGCTTCTATAGACAAGAAGTGCAATAATAGCGACGGCTGCAATTGCCATAAAACCAGTATATCTCTTGGCTTTCTTGCATATTCGCATCATAATGCGCACAGGGATCGGAGGTGGATAATACGGCGTCACTGGGGGAGTGCGCTCCGGGTGGCAAGTATCAAATTCGATCAGCATGCCTTTGTAGATGTTCATACCACGATAGTAAAGGCAGACGCGGCCATCCTTTCCGCCTTCGTCAGTGACATCCATGACAGCGTACTGACCTGGACCAGGAAAAGCTCCGTGACTATAAGGACCTCCTTTGATAGATCCAGGACGTCCTAATGCAGCAGCGTGAAGTACTGTCAGGTTTCCTGGGCTGTGAGAACCATCATCGACTGCCAGCATATGTGCATCTCCACTCACGATCACAATAGGTACCCACTTGTTGAGACCGTTTCCCTTGATGAAATTCACGAGTTCTTGCTGCTCATGACCAAAGTGTCCCCACTTCCGTTCGTCGTCCAGCCACGGCATGGTATTGACCCAAATAATCAATCGAATGTCCGGATCACTAGTTGCGCGAACGAGCTCCGACTTGAACCATGCCTTCTGCTTTTTACCCAGCACGGTCTTGGTCGGTGCATCAGGAGCTGTATTTGGCGTTCTAGCAGAGCGGAGATCCGTCAGAATATAGCGCACACGACCAATTGTAAAAGCTTGGTGGACCGTATTCGTCCGTGACCTCCCTCCAATCAATGGGTAGTGCGGGACAAATTCCCGGTAAGCTTGTACCGACGCATTCCGACCAGGAGCGGTCGAATCACTGTTGTCAGGACCAAAATCATGGTCGTCCCACATATACGCAAACGGCACGTCCATCGCTAACATTGCTCTACCCGCAGGCGACGCAAAGATGGAATCATATCCATCTCGAAAGGCCGCTACATTGTTCACTGCTAGATTATGATAATGGAGATCTCCCGTGTGCAGGAATAACAGAGCCTTCTCTTTCTTAATTTCTTCAAAAACCTACAGAAAAAAACACCAGCATCTCTAAATAAGAATAATACAAAACACATATAACTTTTGTTTATACCTTCCAACTTTACCTTTGGATCTGATACTTCATCAGCACAGGAAGCAAATACCACTCGATAATCAAATGGATTTCCTTCTGCTTTGGGTGTTATGAAACTTCCATTTCTCACGTTTTCTCCAGATCTGAATAAGATCAATTCATAGCGATATTTTCGATTACTATATGGAAGTTTCAAGAGGTTACACTCCTTGACGTTTGGTGTCTTGTAAGACGATAAACTTCTTTCTTCTCCGTACCCCTCTTCACCTCCATCGACTTTATTACATGTGGCAATAACAGAATGAGGTTTCTCACCTTCCAGTAACTCTGGAAACGCGTACAACACAAAGTCTGAATCTGCACAATTGTAACCCTCGCGTAACCCAAATTTGAAACTGATGGAACGAGACGTCAAGGCGCCACTCCATAACCACAATACATCAGATGATTGGCAAAGGCTTTGGACATCTTGGAAAGCTAGTGACAAGATTGTCAAACAGGCGCTTGACACCAGGAACAACATCGTCATGAAGCATAATAAACGCGACATCTTTGAACTATTTTTGACAATTTGACATAATGTAACCCGTCTACTATTCGAGTTACAACACATTATTAACTTCGCTTCGTGTCGATGTTGCACGAACAGGTATTTTGTCGAAATTTATGTTGCATGATCGCTTCATATGTTGCGCATCATGTCCTATTGCTCTCGTTGCAACGTGCTTGAGTAAGAGCTGATGCACTCTTTAAAACGTACAATGTACCACTTTATATGCGTGTTGGTTATGCTGGAAGAACTGGTAGAGGTGACTACGGACCTTTAATGCAAAAAAATATCAACAACGTACAAAAATGGCTTCACTTTTCAGACATGGCTACAGTATCGACCTACCGTATCAAGTTCAGGCTCGGCGATGCATTGATCCAAGTGAAAGTGAAATTGAAACACGTATTCCAATGCCTCTGTCATGACGACGAGATGTCGACGAAGACGTTGGAACTATTGGCATCGATAATTGCAATTAATACGAGAGTCGAGACATTTGCGAAGAAAAAATGAGATTTACAAACCCGCCTTTTGTCGCTTGGTTGTGACCTCACGCATGGTCGTGACGTGCGTTCTATTGGATTGTTCACCTCGTTTCAAGACGTCTGTGCGCATCGCTTGAAGCTATATCGGTTTTCAGCTAAAGGGTTTGTACTATGTGCATTGACGAATAAAAGTGTACTTACCTGCTTTTCAGCCACATTGACCTCGTGTCGAAGCTTCTCACGCACATTCAGTTTTTCCTATAGGAATAAACTGTTAGTATTGCAGAAAAGTAGTATCTTGAATGTGCTCACCTCAAAGAGTTGGAGCTCTGCGAGCTTCCTGCTGGTTTGTTTGGCCACTTTTTGCTCAAGGACATTCTACATAAAGTCAGCGACTAAGCATTATTCGATCATGTCGATGCCTATCAAATCAACATCTTCACCTTCATTTCATCGATGGCTGCACAGCTTTCTAATAGACTTGACGAACATTCAGCAGAAAAAGACGCCGATGTTTGTATCAAACATAGAAAAAAGGTTTCTTGCAGGGAAATCGTATCCGCGTGAAGTTGGTTAAGGCTGCGAAAAAGCTGCTCTCGGTGGTCTGCGACGTCATTCACATGATCCTTTAGCTTCGTGAATCCCGCTTTCAAGCGCTTGTATCGCGCCTCGCCTACTTCTGCCGTGGCAAGCATATCAAATGCCGAACTACCGCTAACTTGGCCTCGAGTTTTCCGATGCAACGTGCGTACAGCTTTGGAGACGATTCGCGACAGTGATGTCGCGATTGAAGTCTTTGATTTCGTCAGCGTAGTCAACATCGCATAATCTTCAACATCGGCATCTGTTGCTGCTTCGTGCTTACCATTAACATATTGAGCGGCTACCGCATTGTCAACATGGTGGTGAGCCAAGCTCAGCAACTGCTCGATACCGGTTTGGGATGTCATTAACTGAATAGTTGCAGCCGATAGAGACGTGAACGCTGTACAATCGTGTGCATTAACATTGTCGGATATCCTGTATCCTGGTGACGTCAAGACTGTAAGCGAGGACGGTATCGGCTCACTCTCCATCTCGACTCGTGGTGTCACGCAGCAAACAAGTTTGCAAGTGTGGATATACAACGAGCAGGATTTTCAAAATAAGAAGACAGAACACAGTAGGTTACGTGAATAAGAAACTGGCATGGAAACATCCGCTCTTCAGACTTGCTCATTCACAATACTCATCGAGGAACGCAAAGTGCCGCGCCACTTCGTCGACTGGTAGACGCAGCTGTTTGGCAAGAACCATGATCTTACTCCCGTTGGAGGTATCTTGAACCTCATTCGACTTACTGATGTAGGAAAGTCGCCGAAAAGCATCTGCGTGATCTCGACACCAGCTTTGAGCCTTCTCGGCGATGGTTCTCATTTCTTGGCGACTGTGCTCGAGTGCTTCTGCCGATGGTGGCTGACAATCCCGACTCAACCGACCATTTGCATGCTCCCTTGGCGAATAATTCTTTGTAATGAACGGGTGCGCAAGGAGGCCAGCAGCAGAAGGTCGAAGCAGCGGGTTTTTATGTAAGCACTGGTCGAGGAAATCGCAGAATTCCGGGGAAAAGTGGTCGCCATAATCCTGAAGTCGCGGTGAGGGTTGCTCTTGTACAGCATGAACCACACCCCAGTAGCCGTCTTTGGTCGGGACAGGCAGCTTTCCGATAGCACAAGCCATGACCGCTAGACCAAAAGACCAAAGATCGGAAGGGTACGAGTACATGCCTCCACTGATTCTTTCAGGTGCCATGTACCTGCAGCATTCGTCAATGTTAGCTAGAAGATGCAGCATTCAGGGCACAAATGTAATCAACTTACAAAAGCGTGCCCGTGAACGTCGTCGCCTTGGCCAAAGTGCTTTCGAGGTCGCGAGAGATACCGAAGTCTGATATCTATATTTGGCCCAAACGTCTGCGTTAAAGTGAATCCACAAGAGTATAGTGAAGTAAGACAAGCTAATACCTTGACTTGGCCTTTGCGGTTAATAAGCATGTTGCTGAGTTTGATGTCTCGATGCAACTGATGATGCTCATGTAAAAAAGCAAGGCCTTTCAATCCACACGCCGCAACATTTGCAATTTTTTTTCGGACAAGTATTTCGCTTTTTCTTCATTGCTTTCGGTAAAAGACTGCAAATAATCTTCCAGAGACCCTCCGTCCATGTACTCGAGAACAATTGATACGGAACCAACCTCAGGATTTGTGTACGCGTCGTAGAAGACTACAAGTTCTGCGCATGCTGCTTGTGTACCTGATGATGTCGCAGCGGGAGATGATGGGAAAGTGGCAGTTATCAGCGGTACAAAATTTACGTATAGTGACTTGAGTTCGCGCACCATTTGATGACGCTTTTTCTGATCGTACACGCGAATGACCTTTACAGCAACCAATATAAATGTTGGCATGTACAGTGCCTTGTACACTTTTCCACTAGCCCCATGACCAAGTTCCTCGAGCAGCAGCAAGTAGTCTTTCGTACTAAGTGTATCCGGAGCTGATACAGACTGTTTGTCTTGTGCTCGGTCCTGCTGTGGTCTTGCGAAAGGCACATTAGCGATACCCCGTGTCTAATATTAATAAGCACAAATCAGTCTAGATTCAAAAATAGCAAATGCATCGATATCAAATGATGTTCTTACATTAATCTCAAAACCTTGGGTCTGCAGTCTTCCAGTTGCAGAGAAATCAAAGGATGCAGCTACTGTCTTCTCCTCCGTATTAACCTGTGCAATATCCAGTTCTAGACCACGTAAAACTTGTCTACCACCTCTGCTTTGTTTTGGAGCTATGGTTGCTAAACGATCATCTTCATCCACGTCAATCCTCAATGGACCGATACCCACCAAATTCAGTCCCGGAGCACGACGTCGAGGTGCTTTACTTACCACGGACTTAACATCATTACGTAAATCACATTTAAGCTGCCGCATCGAGTTCTTAGCAGAATCTATTGGTGGCGAAGGTGCAGGTTCTGGCAACATTTTGTCCTCAAAAGGTGAGCTTTTTACCGAATTTTGAAGCTTGTGAACTTCTCTCTGCAACTTCTTTTTGTGCCCACGACTAGCCTCCGTCACAGCATCTAAGATCTTATCGATTCCATTAGGAGCTAGTAGATCTGCTCCAGTGAGTTTCTGTCGTTGTGCCTCCACCGCAAACAACTTCAAGTCGTGCGCTTCTAGCCAGTCGCACACGTCACAGATTTTCCACTTGACAATGGAATCTTCAGCTTCCTCCTCAGATTCTTCAAGTTCTAAGGTTTCGATTCTCTTTCTTTTTATTAGCACTCGCTGATGTAATTGCAGTTTTCCTTTGCGGTGTTTGTGGGCGTCACATTGGACGCAATACACTAGATCGCAGTCGTCGCAACTCAGTTGAGCAGGACTCTGCTCGCACTCATCGCACTCATAAAGGTGAGAGTTTATAAATGGAGTACTAGATTGGTTGCCATGAAGGTCCAATCCTATCAAATTGTTCATACCCACGACGGAGTCGTACAGGCACGTGTTAACGGCAGTTAGAGAAGCTCTCAAAGGTGAAGTTTTTAGAAAATCTTTCAGAAAATCGAAGGTGGCGATATATAATTATTTTATAATTGTATGCAGCTGAACACCCACTCTTTTACAATTTGAAGGTGAACTTCAAAGGCGATTAAGATAAAGCGAAATACTTGTCCGAAAAAAAATTGCAAATGTTGCGGCGTGTGGATTGAAAGGCCTTGCTTTTTTACATGAGCATCATCAGTTGCATCGAGACATCAAACTCAGCAACATGCTTATTAACCGCAAAGGCCAAGTCAAGGTATTAGCTTGTCTTACTTGACTATACCCTTGTGGATTCACTTTAACGCAGACGTTTGGACCAAATATAGATATCAGACTTCGGTATCTCTCGCGACCTCGAAAGCACTTTGGCCAAGGCGACGACGTTCACGGGCACGCTTTTGTAAGTCGATTACATTTGTGCCCTGAATGCTGCATCTTCTGAGCTAACATTGACGAATGCTGCAGGTACATGGCACCTGAAAGAATCAGTGGAGGCATGTACTCGTACCCTTCCGATCTCTGGTCTTTTGGTCTAGCGGTCATGGCTTGTGCTATCGGAAAGCTGCCTGTCCCGACCAAAGACGGCTACTGGGGTGTGGTTCATGCTGTACAAGAGCAACCCTCACCGCGACTTCAGGATTATGGCGACCACTTTTCCCCGGAATTCTGCGATTTCCTCGACCAGTGCTTACATAAAAACCCGCTGCTTCGACCTTCTGCTGCTGGCCTCCTTGCGCACCCGTTCATTACAAAGAATTATTCGCCAAGGGAGCATGCAAATGGTCGGTTGAGTCGGGATTGTCAGCCACCATCGGCAGAAGCACTCGAGCACAGTCGCCAAGAAATGAGAACCATCGCCGAGAAGGCTCAAAGCTGGTGTCGAGATCACGCAGATGCTTTTCGGCGACTTTCGTACATCAGTAAGTCGAATGAGATTCAAGATGCCTCCAACGGGAGTAAGATCATGGTTCTTGCCAAACAGCTGCGTCTTCCAGTCGACGAAGTGGCGCGGCACTTTGCGTTCCTCGATGAGTATTGTGAATGAGCAAGTCTGAAGAGCGGATGTTTCCATGCCAGTTTCTTATTCAGTGTTCTGTCTTCTTATTTTGAAAATCCTGCTCGTTGTATATCCACAGTTGCAAACTTGTTTGCTGCGTGACACCACGAGTCGAGATGGAGAGTGAGCCGATACCGTCCTCGCTTACAGTCTTGACGTCGCCAGGATACAGGATATCCGACAATGTTAATGCACACGATTGTACAGCGTTCACGTCTCTATCGGCTGCAACTATTCAGTTAATGACATCCCAAACCGGTATCGAGCAGTTGCTGAGCTTGGCTCACCACCATGTTGACAATGCGGTAGCCGCTCAATATGTTAATGGTAAGCATGAAGCAGCAACAGATGCCGATGTTGAAGATTATGCGATGTTGACTACGCTGACGAAATCAAAGACTTCAATCGCGACATCACTGTTGCGAATCGTCTCCAAAGCTGTACGCACGTTGCATCGGAAAACTCGAGGCCAAGTTAGCGGTAGTTCGGCATTTGATATGCTTGCCACGGCAGAAGTAGGCGAGGCGCGATACAAGCGCTTGAAAGCGGGATTCACGAAGCTAAAGGATCATGTGAATGACGTCGCAGACCACCGAGAGCAGCTTTTTCGCGACCTTAACCAACTTCACGCGGATACGATTTCCCTGCAAGAAACCTTTTTTCTATGTTTGATACAAACATCGGCGTCTTTTTCTGCTGAATGTTCGTCAAGTCTATTAGAAAGCTGTGCAGCCATCGATGAAATGAAGGTGAAGATGTTGATTTGATAGGCATCGACATGATCGAATAATGCTTAGTCGCTGACTTTATGTAGAATGTCCTTGAGCAAAAAGTGGCCAAACAAACCAGCAGGAAGCTCGCAGAGCTCCAACTCTTTGAGGTGAGCACATTCAAGATACTACTTTTCTGCAATACTAACAGTTTATTCCTATAGGAAAAACTAAATGTGCGTGAGAAACTTCGACACGAGGTCAATGTGGCTGAAAAGCAGGTAAGTACACTTTTATTCGTCAATGCACATAGTACAAACCCTTTAGCTGAAAACCGATATAGCTTCAAGCGATGCGCACAGACGTCTTGAAACGAGGTGAACAATCCAATAGAAAGCACGTCACGACCATGCGTGAGGTCACAACCAAGCGACAAAAGGCGGGTTTGTAAATCTCATTTTTTTCTTCGCAAATGTCTCGACTCTCGTATTAATTGCAATTATCGATGCCAATAGTTTCAACGTCTTCGTCGACATCTCGTCGTCATGACAGAAGCATTGGAATACGTGTTTCAATTTCACTTTCTCTTGGATCAATGCATCGCCGAGCCTGAACTTGATACGGTAGGTCGATACTGTAGCCATGTCTGAAAAGTGAAGCCATTTTTGTACGTTGTTGATATTTTTTTGCATTAAAGGTCCGTAGTCACCTCTACCAGTTCTTCCAGCATAACCAACACGCATATAAAGTGGTACATTGTACGTTTTAAAGAGTGCATCAGCTCTTACTCAAGCACGTTGCAACGAGAGCAATAGGACATGATGCGCAACATATGAAGCGATCATGCAACATAAATTTCGACAAAATACCTGTTCGTGCAACATCGACACGAAGCGAAGTTAATAATGTGTTGTAACTCGAATAGTAGACGGGTTACATTATGTCAAATTGTCAAAAATAGTTCAAAGATGTCGCGTTTATTATGCTTCATGACGATGTTGTTCCTGGTGTCAAGCGCCTGTTTGACAATCTTGTCACTAGCTTTCCAAGATGTCCAAAGCCTTTGCCAATCATCTGATGTATTGTGGTTATGGAGTGGCGCCTTGACGTCTCGTTCCATCAGTTTCAAATTTGGGTTACGCGAGGGTTACAATTGTGCAGATTCAGACTTTGTGTTGTACGCGTTTCCAGAGTTACTGGAAGGTGAGAAACCTCATTCTGTTATTGCCACATGTAATAAAGTCGATGGAGGTGAAGAGGGGTACGGAGAAGAAAGAAGTTTATCGTCTTACAAGACACCAAACGTCAAGGAGTGTAACCTCTTGAAACTTCCATATAGTAATCGAAAATATCGCTATGAATTGATCTTATTCAGATCTGGAGAAAACGTGAGAAATGGAAGTTTCATAACACCCAAAGCAGAAGGAAATCCATTTGATTATCGAGTGGTATTTGCTTCCTGTGCTGATGAAGTATCAGATCCAAAGGTAAAGTTGGAAGGTATAAACAAAAGTTATATGTGTTTTGTATTATTCTTATTTAGAGATGCTGGTGTTTTTTTCTGTAGGTTTTTGAAGAAATTAAGAAAGAGAAGGCTCTGTTATTCCTGCACACGGGAGATCTCCATTATCATAATCTAGCAGTGAACAATGTAGCGGCCTTTCGAGATGGATATGATTCCATCTTTGCGTCGCCTGCGGGTAGAGCAATGTTAGCGATGGACGTGCCGTTTGCGTATATGTGGGACGACCATGATTTTGGTCCTGACAACAGTGATTCGACCGCTCCTGGTCGGAATGCGTCGGTACAAGCTTACCGGGAATTTGTCCCGCACTACCCATTGATTGGAGGGAGGTCACGGACGAATACGGTCCACCAAGCTTTTACAATTGGTCGTGTGCGCTATATTCTGACGGATCTCCGCTCTGCTAGAACGCCAAATACAGCTCCTGATGCACCGACCAAGACCGTGCTGGGTAAAAAGCAGAAGGCATGGTTCAAGTCGGAGCTCGTTCGCGCAACTAGTGATCCGGATATTCGATTGATTATTTGGGTCAATACCATGCCGTGGCTGGACGACGAACGGAAGTGGGGACACTTTGGTCATGAGCAGCAAGAACTCGTGAATTTCATCAAGGGAAACGGTCTCAACAAGTGGGTACCTATTGTGATCGTGAGTGGAGATGCACATATGCTGGCAGTCGATGATGGTTCTCACAGCCCAGGAAACCTGACAGTACTTCACGCTGCTGCATTAGGACGTCCTGGATCTATCAAAGGAGGTCCTTATAGTCACGGAGCTTTTCCTGGTCCAGGTCAGTACGCTGTCATGGATGTCACTGACGAAGGCGGAAAGGATGGCCGCGTCTGCCTTTACTATCGTGGTATGAACATCTACAAAGGCATGCTGATCGAATTTGATACTTGCCACCCGGAGCGCACTCCCCCAGTGACGCCGTATTATCCACCTCCGATCCCTGTGCGCATTATGATGCGAATATGCAAGAAAGCCAAGAGATATACTGGTTTTATGGCAATTGCAGCCGTCGCTATTGTTGCACTTCTTGTCTATAGAAGCAGACGTCAGCGTGCTATCAACACCAAGAAACACAGCTAAATCAGCAGCGCATGTTGAATGATGCACGATTTCAACTCTATGCTTTACAGTTTATATTTTAGGATAAATACCGATTAGTGAAGTGTCGCTCATATATTCGCAGCATGATGTAATTTGCCCCAATCTACCGTACTCGGATGATCGTAAGCTAACAACAAGCAGCCATAGCTTCTCAAAGAAAGTCTGCAAGCCGAGAGATGCATCAAAAGTCTCAAAGCCAATTGCGAATTCCACGTCCTGAAGACAGCAATTTGAAGTAAAGCAGTAACAGATCATGGCATAAAATAGGAGATGCAAATGCCGTTCTAGCGATAGAATTGCGCCACCCGAAGTCGTAGTGCCGCATTTATCCGCATCGTCTTTGTCTTCGGACCGTGGCAATGACGACCGAGTAATTTGCTGTGTAAACATGGCTCAACGGTCGATACACTACTTGCTGGCGGTAAAAGTGACAAACAAGTCGCTCTAGACGCAACTACGCACGTTTTCTTCGAAACTCGGTTTGTGCAGTCAGCGGAACGCAAAAATCTCACGCTATCCATCGTACGAGATTCTTAGCGGTCCACTTCCACGAGCACCACCCATCACAAGATTTTTCGCAGTTTTTGTAATATATACTACTTCCTCTGACGCAATTTCCATCTTTTATTATCAATCGTCTTCTCTCAAGTGGAAGGTCTGTCTGGCAGCTTCCCAAAACTCTCAGCAAATAGGATACCGACCGTGTTTAAAGCCTCACTCTCTCTTTAAACGGGCAGCACATATCTCATGTCTCCAACTTGTAGCATCGCGTCAAACGTTAATTTAGCCGATGATACTGCAATGAGTTGAACAGATCCAGCAAGTACGTGTTGCTGACAAAAGCATTCACACAATTTCATTCTCCCTGCAGTCTGTATTAGAGTATATTGTCATCACTAATTATCACCATTCCTGACAATTTTTATGGAGCTATAAGGATGAGTACGTCGTCATCGCTTCTTCTTCCACGTTATCTCCATTTTGTTGAATTTAGTCTAAGTCGGTTGAATTGTAGCTTGTAGCGATAAGGCCGAAACATGAGTCCGTTGATAACGATCTAGATCTGTATAATCATCATGGAGACAGTATGTAGACGGGCACTTCTATGAAGTTGCCTTGTACTACGAGCACACACCTTATGCACAAGCGAGGAAGCGGTTATACCGTCTTACCTTCGCGTGCGAGGGTGGTAGGGAGGTTGGTCGACTGCTTAAGCAGTCGTACCACCAGTTGCCTCTCGCTTAAGCGAGAGTGCAACGAACTTCATAACACTTAGAACACCGACGACACGCAGAAGTCTTTCAGCTTCTCGTGCGTGGTGTTGCTGTTTAAGGAAATTCAAGACTGATATATATTTAATTAATTATAACTAAATATATGTTTAACTACTGATTGGCTTTATATATAGATCGGATACGCGACTCTTTAGAAGCGTATCCTGTCGCATGATCTTAAATCTAGATTTAAGATCGCAACTGACGTCTTTCTGAGACGTCGCGATGCCTAGCTTCAACTAGCGTCATCCCTTCTCATGTGAATCCATCAATGGATATCACATTCACGGGGGTGGATCACATTTGTGTATCGCACCCAAGTGACTGGTCAAAAGTAATCATGGATACTTTTAGACCAAACATTAAGTATATTACTTAATGTTTACGTGTAACTAGATGCCCTGTTACACCATCCCCCGTTTTAGAACGATGTTTACATTTTATAAAACATCGCCTAAGAGACAGAGAGACTGCCGAGCCGTTATAAACGCGTCGCTTTAGTCTGCTCAGTACTCATGCCACCGAAACGTGGTAAGGCTGATGGGTCGCCTGCAAAGGCACCCATGCAGTCCAGCACTAAGCGCACGCGCCGCGATTTATCGCAGCCGTCGCAAAGTGCGTCAGGCACTGGGGTGGATCTTCCATCTCACGATAATGTGGATGAAGATCCATCTCTCATTGTTGACTACAATGAGACCACACCACTGCCATCACCCCAAAGTGGCGATGAGCATAATGCATTGATGGGACATATGTCCCCATCATTTGAGGCACCCGTCCTTGAGGAAGCATCTATGCTTCCTGCAAGCGAAGGTAACGCCTCGGCGTCTGCGCCTACGAGCGCAGCGACTAAGACTGAGCACGCTACTTTGAAAGGAGTAGTCGCGACTCAGTCAGATGTAACTCCTCAAGCTGATGTCTTGACAATCCATAATGGAGAGTCAGACTCAGGTGAGTGTGAGCTTAAAGCTCCACCAAGTACACCTTCGGCCTCACTAGCCCGCCGTCGCGAGGGCGGCTACGTGAGTGGTGGCTTGCCACCAATGCCACCTCCATCTGAGTGGATGCACTCAGATGGGTCTAGCGCATCGCTTTTGCAGCGTGCCACTATAGACGCTCATAGATTCTATAGCGTCTTTCATTTGTGGAAAAAGCAGGGCAAAGCACTTGGTCGTGCTTTCCCAATTCCAGTCGTGCTGCGTTCTAACGAAACAGCCGACGACTATGAAGCTGAACTTCGGCGCCGTGTTACCTTGCATGAAGATGCAACGAAACAGCGGTCGCAGCGAATCAGCTTCGCCATGAAGCGTGCGCATGAAATTATGGGCGGTAAACGACCCCCAATTAATTCTCGCCACGCTTCTTCTGCTAGTCCTTCCGGACCTAGCAGAAAGAAGACAGCTGGTGCTGCTTCACATAAGCAGCCACCAGCCCAGGCACGTCAACGCGCAAAGCGTCCACAGGCTCCCACGAGTCAAAGCTCGTTGGGTAACCCTTCCATTGGACAAGGATTTGGAGCTTTCGCTTCACAAACCGGTGGGCCAACAGCCTTCCAACAAGGAAGCGCGTGTTCCCATCCGTGTCCACCAACACAGGTGGCGCCCGATAGGAGTGGCGATTACGCCCACCTAATCGCGGCTGCCTACCCTGCTGTTGTTCAGTCGCAGGCTGAGTCTGCTGCGCTGAAGAGACAGGTGACAGATCTCGAGAGTCAAGTCTCGCGACTGACTTTGGATCTGCGCGATGTGAGGACGAGGACCGTCAGGGGTATGACCGCCTGAAGACCCGTTTGGACATCTTAGAGCGACTGGTGATGAGAGACCCGCGTCAAGCGCGGAGTCCTCCTCGATCACCGAGTCCTCTATCGCCTAGTTCATACACGAGGAGCCTCTCGGCTTCCTCGTCGCCTGATCGGTCGCGACGCTCGACTCACAGTCGACGTCACCACCGGTTTCGTTAGACCGATGTGGATATGTGATCTCTTCTGGATTAACATACTGTTTCAGACGACCCACGTAAAATACGGGGTGCGTCTTCATATACGGTGAGAGAGTGAGCCTATAATTTAGGTCTCCAGCTTCTTCAACCACTGTAAAGGGCCCAATGAATCGGGGCAATAGCTTAGTAGTACCACCAGGTAGTACAGAGATTGCATGTTTAGGTAGGGTAGTAGTACTTCATAGCACTTTGTCCCCCACACTAAAGTGTTCATTGTTTTTGCGACCATGCTGGTCTGCATATTGTTTTTGCTTGTCCTGTGCGCTTGCCATCGCGTCACGGACTTTGCGTGTGATGGCTAATCGCTCATCCACAAAGCGCTGAGCTTCACTCACGCTTTTAGCATCCAGCTCGCCTATGACGCCTCCAAGAGGTCGTTCATGGGTCGACGGTGTTGACAACACTATAGTGTCATCATCAAGGAGCACGGGCATTTCTTGCCGTGCCTCCTTTGTGACACCTATAGGTGTCGTGACCACTGCTAAATTAGCAGTGTCACTAGGGCAACCTTGGCCCTCTTTGGCATTCGCACCGAGCGAAGTGAGGGGCCCTCCCCCACTAAGACTCGGGCTGCGTACAAACGAGACTGGCGTTCGAGGATGACGCAGTCCGTTAATGTAAAACGGTGTTTCACCCGTACTGGCGTGAACACTGTTATTAATAGCGAACTCCACGAATGACAATTGCTTGCTCCATTCTTTGGGAGTGTCGCTACTGTACGCAATACATCCGCCACGACTCGATTAGCCCTTTCTGTTTGACCATCGGTCTGGGGATGATCAGCGGTTGACATGTGGAGCTTGCTACCCAGCAGCTCGAACACATGTCGCCAAAAACCCGACGTAAAACGCGGATCCCGGTCCGATACTATGGACTCGGGCATCCCGTGTAGTCGATACACGTGATCCAGAAACAAGAGGGCAGCCTCTTTTCCTGAGATCTTGGTGCTACATGGTGCCAAATGCACCATCTTGCTCAGTCTGTCTACAAAGACGACGGCCTGCCTTTATGGTCAGGCGGTAAGCCAAACATGAAGTCCAAACTGACCGACTTCCAACATTCAGTTGGAATCGGCAGTGGCTTCAGTGGCGCACTATTCGAAGGTGCAGGCTTTATGCGCTGACACTCTTCGCAAGAGCGAATATAGCTGGCCACCCACCGATATAGGTGGGGCCACCAAAATTCCTCTGACACTCGTAAGAATGTCGTTTTACGGCCCAGATGCCCACGCCCACTAGATGGCGCATCATGGCACTCGTGAAGTATCATCAGCTTGAGATCTGTGTCATGAGGGACATAGATTCTCAAGGGATCACAGGGTGACAGCTGATGCCATAAAAGGCCATCACTGTAACTAAAGCGATTTAGTTTCGCTTTGAGTGCGACGGAAGGGTAACCTTTCGTCCACCAAAATGATCTAACAGCAGGCGACAATATTCGTCCTGACTGTAACACTCCTTGATATCGGAGGCCATTGAGCTCGTCACATGGTAGGCCTTCATGGCTGCCAATGTTGACGACTCAACTCTTGCTTTCGCACGAGACACACTATCTTGGTGTCTTGCCTCGAAGTATGGTCTGCGCGATAACGCGTCAGCCAAGACATTCGACTTATTCGGCTTATATTCAACTTTGAAATTAAATTCAGAGAAGAATGTTAGCCATCTCGCCATACTAGGCGAGCTGTGCGGTGAATTTATAGCGATC